GAGGAAGAGGAGGAGGAGAAGGAGGAGGAGGACAAGGATGATGAGGAACTGAGCTCCTTGGCGTGTATTTCGTGAGCGTGTTGTGAGCCCTTGAGCTTTCAGAGTGAGAGTGTCAGAGCAATGAGCCTTTGAGAAAGTTCTCGGGCAATGAGTTTCACAACAGTGAGTTTCAGAGCAATGAGTTTCAGAGCAATGAGCTTCAGAGCAATGAGTTTCACAGCAATGGGATTCAGAGCAATGAGTTTCAGAACGATGAGTTTCCGAGCAGTGAGAGTTTCAGAGCAATGAGTTTCAGAGCAATGAACCTTTGAGAGTGTCAGTGAAATTAGCCTGTGAGGAAGTTCTCGAGCAATGAGTTTCGGAGCAATGAGTTTCAGAGCAACAGGCTTCAGAGCAATGAGTTTCAGATCAATCAGTTTCAGAGCAATGAGTTTCAGAACAATGAGTTTCAGATCAGTGAGAGTTTCAGAGCAATGAGTTTCAGAGCATTCAGACTTTGGGAGTTTCAGAGCGTCCTCCTTCTCCTCCTCCTCCTCCTCCTCCTCCTCCTCCTCCTCCCCCTCCTCCTCCTCCTCTTCGTCCTCGTCGTCGTCGGTGTTGTCGTCAGCGGCGGCGGCGGGAAAAAATGATTAGTTTCCGCTGTTGTCGGGGCCCCAGTCCGTGAGTAAAGTCGCCAGAAAATATTTAGTGCCCCACTGTTGCGGGCTTGTTTGGTTCAAGACCCTTAGAAGAAAATTAACTGTCCCTCACATCTCATTGTTTCCATTTGAGCCAATTCGGCGTCTGAGCCCACTCGGCCGCTGAATGGGCAGCCGAATGGGCTCAATGCGAGTGGGCTCAGAAGAAGATTGGCTTCGGAACGGAACTCTAGGGCACTGGAACTTGTTACGAAAAGCCGGCTTCGCGTGTTTTTTCCTGGAAAGCGCGCCGGCCCAGGGTTCTCTTTTAGTTGGTAAACCTGTCCCCGGTGCCTCAACCGAGGTGGGCCGGCGGATTCTTTCCCTGATAAATATCGAGGTCGAGGTGGGCCGGCAGATTAAAATTTGAGGATGTCTCGAGCGAAACGCTTGTTTGACGGGAAGCGCGCCAAGACTCGAAGAGTCGCGCGATGAACGTCTGTTTGCCCAGAGGGATTTACTTATCAACTGGGGGAGGCCTGGAGGGGGAACGTGCGGCGCCGCCTCGTGATACAGAGCCTGCCGGATTCCCAAAACGAGCGTTTCGCCTGAGACGTCCTCGCCAAATCGTGAAGTTGGGGGTCGTGTCTTAAGACGTCTTATGTTAAACATGAGCGTTTCGCCTGAGACATCCTCAAACAATCGGGATGTTGAAATCGCTGGCCTAATTTCGGAACTTCAAAAACGGCCGTTTCGCCTGCGACATCCTCGGAAAAATGGGATGTCGAAAGAGCTGCTATGAGATATATTTTCGGGGTGTTCTTGGATAACCTTGTATATGATACTTGGTCCTTGTATATGATACTGGTGGTCCTTGTACATGATACTTCCTCAATATCAAGTTCTTGTATATGATCGCCCTTGTCTATGACATTCCTTGTATATGATGTCTCTTGGCAGGGCTCTTGGAGGCCTCTTGGGCCGTGTTGGAGGCCTGTTGGGCCGTCTGGAAGCCATCTTGGGCCGCCTTGGAGCGATTCTGGGCTATCTTGGTGGCCTGGGTGGGCTTCCTGAGCCGTCATTGAAGCCCTGGACAATCCCAGGGATACGCTATGGCCGCCCAGGGACCCCCGGGAGTAGGGGCGGTGCAGTCGCCTATATGCGAGACGGCGGGTGGGCGGCCCCTTAGTTGTATATGATCTTGTTTGAATATGGCCTTCGTTGTATCTGATCTTCCTCGTGTACGATGGTCCTTGTATATGATACTTCCTCTATACTAAGTTATTATAGATGATCGTATTGTGAGGCTATGTTGGGCAGTCGTGAGGGCCGTCTGCTCCTCACGTTCCTCCATCTCCTTCGCCCCCTCCTACTCGAACACATCAGATAAGTAAGCGTTTCGCTCGAGACATCCCTCTTGCAAATGCTTTTGAGGAGGTCTTCTAAAACGTACCAGAGCCTCTTCCTCCTGTGTGTGTGCGTGTGTGTGTGTGCCTTCGGACGGGCCTTCGAACACATCAGATAAGTAGGGGATAGACGGACGACATTGGAGGCGTACAGAGAAGTGAGGAGGATACTCAGGACTCTCCTTGTGGACGTTCGGGGAGCCCGTGTCCGTAGGTATCCCATGTGGACGTTCGGAGAGCTCGCCTACATTACATTTTATCGTGATGATGCTGCACGTTCTTGCGCAACTCTGTTCTTTCACGCGCTTCCCGTTCATGTCAGGAAAGGTTTCAGAATTTGTTGAGGATGCCTCGAGCGAAACGCTTGTTGTGTTATTGATCGTCCTCTCCTGGGGACCTGAATTCGGAGGATCTCTCAATTGAAAGGCTTGTTTTCACGTGCCCAGGTCTTGAGATTGTCTCGAGCGAGACGCTTGGTTTCACGCCTCCAGGTTGCCCAGGCAGATGTCTAGCATGAGGATTTGTTGAGGATGTCTCGAACCAGAGGCTTGTTTTCACGTGTCCAGGTCGCCCAGGCGGATGTCTAGCATGAAGATGTGTCGAGGAAGTCTCGATCGAGACGCTTGTTTGCACGTGTCTAGGTTGCCCAGGCGGATGTCTAGCATGAGGATGTGCTGAGAACGTCTTGAGCGAAACGCGTGTTTTCACGTGTCCAGGTCGCCCAGGCACAGCACAGCCCTCGGCACGGTACATCAATATCGATACCCTTAGCATTGCAGCCTGGCCTGTTGCCTGGCACGTTCTGCGGAGCGTCCCGTGGCGAGTCCCCCTGGCACGTTGCGCGGTGCACGTTCATTGGCACGTTCCGTAGCGCGTCCCCTTGGCACGTCCCGCGGTGTGTGCCCATGGCACGTCCCCTGGCACGTCGCCTGGCGCGTGCCTTGGAACGTTCCGCGGCGCGTCCTCCTGGCATGTCCCTCCATCGATGAGCTCTGGGGCAGCTACCATCTGCTCAGACAGCTCGAGCTTAAGATCCAGATCGGTTCGGTCAGGACTCGGATGCAAAGAGGACTCGATCCACAACGCTATACAGAACACAATCGCGGCATGGCACATCGCAGTTCAGCACGGCCAGCACAGCGCAGCCGTCGGCACGGTACATCAAGATCGATACATTCAACATTGCATCTTGGCACGTTCCTTGGCGCGTTCCTTGGCGAGTCCACCTGGCACGTCGCGAGGCGCGTCCCCTGGCACGTCCCGCGGCACGTCCATTGGCACGTTCCGTAGCGCGTCCCCTTGGCACGTCCCGCGGTGCGTGCCCATGGCACGTCCCCTGGCACGTCGCTTGGCGCGTCCCTTCGGACGTTCCGCGGCGCGTCCTCCCGGCATGTCCCCTCTGTCGACTGGTTCTGGGGCAGCTACCATCTGCTCAGGCAGCTCCAGCTTAAGATCCAGATCAGTTCGGTCAGGACTCGGATGCCAGGGAGGACTCGATCCACAATCCTATACATATATATATATATAGAGCACAATCGCGGCATGGAACATCGCAGTTCAGCACGGCGTAGCACAGCACAGCCCTCGGCACAATACATCAAAATCGATACATTCAGCATTGCATTTGCCCGTCGCCCAATCAAGTGTCTTTGAAACGTTGCCATGCCTTACATTTCTATATTCCTTTCCGGGTTCGTGGGTCGATCATGTTTTATGCTGCACCGTCGAATCCGCGTCGAGTCCACGTGGAACGTCGAATCCGCGTCGGATCCACGTCGAATCCGCACCGAATCCACCTCGAACCCGCGCCAGACACAAGAAGCCATACGACCATCGACAGGGCAAGCGAAGCCGCTCGAAGATGCAGCTGCCACGTATCTGGTCGACCGGCCACGGAGTCCACTGAGGTGAGGGGGGAACGGTAGGGGGGTCACCCGCCCGGGGGGGGGGGAAGCATCGAGCTGGCGATGCATCGCCGATAGGCCCCCGACAGCGAATCCGCACGCTCCCGGGCGGGGTGGAGCTATCGGGCCCCTGTCGGCGACGAGTGGGCGATTTGGGGTCGGGTCTCGGGCGGCCGATCGGAACGTTTCGGGCGCCCCTGGAACGCTCTCGTCGAGGCGCGGCTGCTGGAAAGCATCCCGAGGCTGGCAGACGGCCGAGATCCGACGAGAACGCCCCTCTGAGCCCATCCCCCCTGACGCTGCCCCTCAAGGCAAGCCCCCACCGAACATGGAGCTGGCGCCTGTTTAGTCGACTGGCCACGCCGGGCCGCAGAGGCCTGGCCCCGAGGCGGGCCTGGCTCCCGGCCTCCGGGCGCGAGCGACGCCGACGCGCGCAGGCGGACGCCACAGAGAGGAGACGGATGCCCCTGGAGGAGGGGGCGAACTCCAAAGATACAGTATTGGAGGGAGGAGGCAGGCCGAGGGAGGAGGAGGAGGAGGAGCAGGAGGAGGAGGAGGAGGAGGAGGAGGAGGAGGAGGAGGAGGAGGAGGAGGAGGAGGAGGAGGAGGAGGAGGAGGAGTCGCGGGAGGAAACGCGGGAGGAGGAGTCGCGGGAGGAGGAGCAGCTGCCACCTGTCTGGTCGACCGGCCACGCGGGTCGCGGAGGCCATGGCCCCGAGGCCGGCCTGGCCGCCAGCCTCCGGGCGCGAGCGGCGTCGACGCGCACCTTGGGGGCGTCCAACGGGGGCGCCCCAGAAGGGGCGGTGCAGATCATAGCCGTAGGCATGTGCGCGGACGGTAGGGGGGGGCCATGGGACGCATTGAGGGAAGAGGATCATGGCGGGGGCCATGGAGTCTGGGCAGATACCATAGCATAGCCCCACGATGAATTCCCGCCCCCCCACCCCCCAGTTATCACCCCACTCTTGGACGTCCCCGAGCAGAGAACGCCCTGGAGCTTTCTGGCCCGTGGCGCCCGCCGCGGGATGCCCAGGCTCGATGCGCCCGCAGGGCCGAGAACGGAGAAGAGCCTCTCAGACGAAGCTGATGCGGAACGTCTCCCTTTCTCGCCGGCGCCCTGTAACTGGCGACGCCGCTCGCCGCCGCGCGACCTGCAGCGGAGGAGGTCCTCTCCCGTCGTCGTGGCCGTCATGGTGTTGGTGGTCGCGGTCATCCTCCCTGGTCATATAATATCCTCCTCCTTCTCCTCCTTTTCCTCCGGCTCCTCCTCCTCCTCCTCCTCCTCCTCCTCCTCCTCCTCTTCCTCCTCCTGCTGCTCCTCCTCCTCTCCTCCTCCTCCTCCTCCTCCTCCTCCCCCTCGTCCTCTTCCCTCTTCCCTCCTGCCTTCTGCCTCATCGTCCCTCCCTCCTCTTCTCTGCTCCCTCTCCTTCGCTCCCCCCTCCTCCCTCTTCCCTCCTCCCCCTCTGGATTTGGGCGTTGGAGGAGTTTCGAGCTTAGGACCTCGGGCCCAGGGCGTAAAGCCCGAAGCCCGAGAGCCTGGGCCCGAGGAGTCCGACACCCATTTCCATTCCTTTCGATGGTCTAGGAGCTCGTTTGCCGCTATCCAACCTCAGCCCCCCAGCCAGCTCCAACCCCGACCCTCCGCCCTCGAGCGACGGCGGCGACGACGGAGACGGACATCGACGGCGGCGGCGGAGTAACCTGCGGGGCCGTGAGCGCGGCGGGCAGCAGTTCCGCGGTCGACTGGCTGCTGGTGGGGCGGCCCTCGCGCCTGGTGGCGCTCTGGACGGATTCGGTCATATCGACGTGGATCGGGCCCTCCGTGTCCAGCCTCGCGGCGCGAACCCCCATTCCAATTGTAGGCCTCCCAGATGGGGCTGGAGTAGATGGGGTCGAGAGATCGCGCCGTATCGTCGATGCATCACCGATGCATCGGCGACGTCGGCGATGCATCGACGACGTCGGCGTGGAGAAACTTGCGGCGCGATCTTGGGGGCTCCCTTTGGCCGTCTGAGACGCTGTAAAAACCTGAAAGGCGAGCGTACCACAAATGCACGTTTTCCCAAGGGAATGTGGCATTGCCGAAGGAATGTGGCAAGCCTTCTTGGAGCGTCTTCGGGGCCTCTTGGGCAATCTTGGGGCAAACTTGGGGCGTGGCCCGCCCATTTCGGCCGCTCTGATCGCTTTTGTATGCCATCCACATCTGTTTGGGATCGCCAGAGAGGGGCCAGGGCCCAGAGGGGCTCCAAATTGCTGGTGCCGCAAAAGTCGAAGGTGCGCCGCTGGATCTCCCCAAGGGGGGGGGGGTTAGGACCCCCCCCCTTCCCCCCCTTCCCCGATCCGACCCCCCCCCCCTTCCCCGATCCGTCGTCGGGGACCCCCCCCCCTCCCCCTTTCCCCGACCCGTCGTCGGGGACCGCCCCCCCCCTCCTTTCCCCGACCCGTCGTCGGGGACCACCCTCCCCCCTTCCCCCCCTTTCAAAAGGAAGGGGGGGGGTCCGACCCCCCCCCCCCCCCCCCTTTCGCCACGCCGCCCCCTGACTCCGGAGCCCGACCCCCGCCACCCCCACCCCTGATCCTCACCCAAACCCAAACCCCTATAACCCCAGCCAGCCCCACAGAGTACTCACTACTCATTACTCTCATCTCATCAGACAGCGACTCACAAGAAGCGCAAAGCATACAACGAGTACATAGGCGATACAGCTACTTGCCCTGTGTGCAACCACTCGTACAGTGGCCGCCAGCACCTTTTGAACACACTTGTATCAGAAGCAATGCGGTGTTACGATCTTGAATGGGGACTACCCTAAGGTGCCTCTCCAAGAGCGCGAGCGCGCCGAGCAGAAAGATCGTGAGCTCCTGAAACAGTCCCGCCATCAAGGCAGAACCTATCTCCTGGCCGGCAACCGACTTCGGAGTTGAGCATGCGTTGCGCTACTTAGCGCCTTTTCTGTCCAGTCTAACTTGCGGCTTTCACTTCCTCGGGACCAAAAAAAACTACTGACTACTCGCTATTCGCTACCCACTTCTCACTACCCCCTACTGACCACTCACGACGCACTACTCACTATCCACTACTCACTACCCACCACCCACTACTCGCCACTCACTACTCCCTACTCCCTACTTACTACTCCCTCCTCCCTACTCACTACCCACTACTCACTCTTCACTACCCACTACTCAAACTCACTCAGCACTACTCCCTACTCCCTACTCACTCCTCACGAATCACTACTCATTGCCCACTATCCAATACTCACTACTCACTACTAACTACTCATTGCCCAGAAATCACGACTCACTACCCAGTACTCGCTACTCGCTACTCCCTACTCCCCACACAATACGGACTACACAGTACTCAGTACTCACTACTCGCTACTCCCATGCTCGCTATTCAATACTCACTCCCCCCTACTCACTACTCACTACTCACTACTTACTACTCCTACTCACTAGTCACTACATAGTCTCTAGTCACTAGTCACAACTCACTAGTCACTAGTCACTACTCACTACCCACTACTCACCAATCGCTACCTACTACCCACTATTCGCCACCCACTTCTTACTACTCACTGCTCACTACTCCCTACTCCCTACTCCTTACTCACTACTGACTACTCACTGCTCCGTACTCCCTACTCGTTACTCACTAATCACTACCTACTACTCACTACTGACTACTCTCTACTCTCTACTCACTACGCCCTACTCGCTCCTCACTACTCACTACTCGCTACTCCCTACTGGCTACTCACTACTGACAACCCACTGCCAGTACCCACTACTCTCTATTCATCACTACTCACTACTCTCTACGCACTACGTACTACTCAGTACTCAATACTCACTACTCACTACTCACTACTCACTACTCGCTACTCATTACTCACTACTCACTACTCACTACTCACTACTCACTACTCACCACGCACTACGCACTACCCACTACTCACTACTCACGAATCACTACTCGCCACCCACTACTCACTACCCACTACTCACTACCCACTACTCGTGACTCCCTACTCCCTACTCAGTACTCACTACTCGCTATTCGCTACTCAGTACTCACTACTCACTACTCGCCACTCACTACTCACTTATCAGTACACACTACTCACTATTCACTACTCACTACTCCCCACCCCCTACTCCCGCTAACATACTGGGGCCTCACTGAGTTGTTGGGCAAGTCCTTGTGGACAAAAGCTTGTTTAGCACATGTGCAAGTAGTTGCTTGGCAATTGTCGTCGAATTCCCGCCCGCCGCGGCTCAGGCCCGCACGAAGCGACGCGCCGCCGCCGGGCGGAGGCCACGGCCCCCCGCTCACGCGGCCCCGCGGGCGTCGGGGTCCGGGCCGCGCCAGGCCAGCGCCTCCAGCTGCCGCCTCTCCTCCTCGCTCGGCCCCTCGGGCGCCGCCGCCCCTCCCTCGCCGCCCTCGCCGCGGCCCGCGGCCCTACCGCCCGCGCCCTCCACGGCGCCCTCCTCGCCGCTGCCGGCCTCGCCGCTGCCGGGCGGGCCCTCCTTCTTGTCCGCCGGCTGCCGGCGCGTCCTCCTCCTCCTCCTCCTCCTCCTCTTCCTCCTCCTCCTCCTCCTCCTCCTCCTCCTCGACGCTCGTCTTGCGTCGTCCTGGCCGCCTCCTCGGGGCTACACCAGCGCCTGCTGCCTCCTCGTGGTCTCGTCGTCGCTCTCCTGCCGCTGCTGCTGGTGCTCCTCCTCCTCCTCCTCCTCCTCCTCCTCCTCCTCCTGGTTGCCGCCCTCCTCTGGGCTCCCTCAGCGCCTCCCTGCTGCCTCCTCGTGGTGCTGTTGTTTTCCTGTTGCTGCTCCTCCTCCTCCTCGTCAGCCTCCTCTTCCTCCTCCTCCAGGTCGCCCTCCCTCGCCTCGTCGTCCTCGGTGCCCGCCGCCTGTCCTGGCGCCTCACGCGCCGGCCGCCGCCGCCGCCGCCTCCACCGCCGACGCCGCCGCCAGGCGGGCCGGGGTCGCACCTGGCCGCGGGCGCTGCAGGCGCTGCAGGATGGCCCGCGCGTTCTCCCTGTGCAGGGAGATCGAGAGTCGCTGGGCCATCCTGTCCGCCGTGCTGGCGGCCTCCTCCCCGCGCGCGTCGGCAGCGCGCTTGGCCAGCACGGCGAAGGCGCGTCGCGCCTCGCCGCCCCAGCTCCCGCCGTGCGCCTCCACCACCATCGGAATGAAGGTGAGGTCGGCGTCGCGGCAGGCCTGCGCCGTGCCTTGGTGCTGCCGCTTGTGCTCCTCGCACCGGTCGAGGGCGGCGGCCGGGTCGGCGGCGGAGTGCGCGATGAGGTCTGCGCGCAAGCCCGACGTCACCGCGAAGTCAAGGGCGGCTGGGAGCCCGGCGCGCCATCGGGGGACGTAGACATCCGCCGGCCGGCGGTCGTCGTTGTCTAGTCCGTCGCCGTCTGGCTCCTCGGCGCTCGGCCCCTCGCCAGGCGCCCGCGGCGGAAGCAGTCCGGGCCGCTCCAGCTCCGCCCCCGAGAAGCCGGCGGCCTGGGCGGCGAAGAAGGTGCCGTTCCGCAGCTTGTTGTGGCGGCGCGTGCGGTCGCCCTGGCAGGCGCACGTCAAGGCGTGGTCGCAGTACACGTCCATGACTTCTCCGCACGCCGGGCAGAAAACCTCTTCGTCCATCAGCTGAACCCGGAGCCGTCGCTTTATCCCGATCTGCATCAGGCCGTGCGGGACCGCTGTGCCAAGCGCCTCGCTGGGGGGCGCCTGCAGGTGCGCGCTGGCGCCAGGCGCGGCCACCAGGGCGAGGTGAGCGCGCGTCGCGGGCGTGGAGCGGTTCCAGAGGGCGGCGCGCGCGGCGTCGTCGACCTGGTCCGAGAGAGCCTTCTGGCTGGCGTGCGTCTCCCAGTCGAAGCGCGCGGCGCGGGCTGCCTCGGCCACGCTGGCGTTGTGGGTCTGGAGCGCCGCGGTCAGGGCCCCGGCGTCGCCCGCGTCGTCGTCCGCGTAGCCCGCGTACATGGACCGGCAGAGTTCGCTGCTCTTGGCGCGCGAGGAGAGGTAGGCCGCCGGTGAGTGCTTCTCGGCGGAGCGCAGCCCCAGGCCGCCCTTGTTCAGTTTCAGCTGCGCTTGGGCCCAGGAGTCCTCGGTGAGGGAGGCGCAGGCCAGCTGTTCCAGGCAGGAGCGCACGGCGGCGTCCATCTCCAAGAGGGCCTCGGTGCGGGCGGAGGGCGGCACCACGCGCGCCGAGTAGCCGAGCTTGCAGTAGGAGCCACACTGCCGGAGAAGGTGGAGAGCCACCTGCGCGTCCTCCAAGCCGGCCAGTGCGCCCAGGAGCTCCGCTGCCTTCTTGACTCGTTCCTGCGTGTGCTGGCGGCAGAAACCGTCGCTCCCGATGGGCGCGCCGAGGAGCTCAAAGCAGCCGTCGGAGCGCAGTCGGAAGCCCGGTGGGAAATCCGCTGCGGACGCGTTGCTGTCCGCCCCCGCCGCCAGGACAACCTCGCACTTGCCCGGCCCCGTGCTGAGGTTGAGGCCGACAGCTGCGAGTTCGGCCACGACGAGGCGCAGGAAGCGAGACACGGCCTGTCTGTCGCCCGCCACGCAGCCGTCATCCAAGTAGAAGAAGACGAGGTCCAGGCCAGCGTCCTGCGCGAGCTCCCTGAGGCTGCGGCCCGCCGTCTCGGCGCAGCGTTGGAGTGCCAGGGAAAAGAGCAGCGGGCCAAGCGGGTCGCCCTGCTGGACGCCGCACTCGGAGCGCAGCGTCTGCTTGCCGAGGAAGAGTAGCGAGGGCCTGCCGTAGCACCAGTCCGCCCAGGGTGCCAGCGCGGGAAAGTCCTCGTGCACTGCCCGGAGGATGGCTCTCCGGTCCAAGGTGTTGAAAGCGTTCGAGAGGTCTAACTTCACGAAGACTTTGTCCCTGTCGCCCCGGTTGCGCGTGAACCACTGCCTGGCCACGTGGATCGCCGCCTCCGCGCCTCCCGGGACAGCGACGCCGACCTGGAGGGGCGCCAGGCGGTCGCGGGCGGCCTCGGCGACCTCCTTGCAGAGGCACTTGCCCACCAGGCGGCGGAGTGTCTCGCCGACGGCCACCGGGCGGAGGCCGCCGTCCTTCTTCGGGAGAGCCACCAGCGAAGCCCCAGCGAAGTAAGCCGCGACCGCCGCCGGGGCCTGGCCGCGCGCGAGCACGTTCACGAGACCGGCGAGCTGCTCGACGACCTCGTCCCTGTGGGCTGCCGTCGCCAGGGCGTCCTGCAAGTGTTGCGGGCGCAGGCCAGTGGGGCCGGCGGCCGAGCCCTTGGGGAAGGCCCGCACTTCCTTTTGCACGACTGAGACGTCGACCTGGGCTGCGGCGGCCGCGTGGACAGCAGGCAGGCTAGCCAGGTCCACAACCGGCTGCTGGCTGCGGGGGTGTTTGCGGCTCATCTGGTCCACGACGGCCGGCGTGACGGACACGGGCGGCTCCGACGTCAGCGAAGCGCAGCTTTTCGAGTAGAGCCCCTCCGAAGCCAAGTCGAGGCAGCGCTGTGCTCGGTGAGTCGCCTTGTCCGTTCCCCCTGTCTGGCGCCGCTCTGTTGTCTCCGCCCAGAGCGTCTGGCGCTCTCCCTCCAGCCAGCGGCGGCAGAGGTCCTTCGCTTCCTGCTCGCTGGCGTTCCGGCTGCCTCGGCCTCCGCGGCTGTGTGGGCGCAGCACGCACTTGGGCAGCATGGCAAGTTGGACCCAAGCTGCTTCGGTGTTGTGGTGGACCGCCAACGCCACGGCCTGCACCAAACACTGCGCCCACAACGCCCTGGCCCCCTTTGGCACGTGGCGCCTCGTGCCGGCGCGGCTGGAGAAGACGGTCCGCAGCGAAGGGAACCCTGGCTGGCCGGCCGCGTCGCCAGCGTCGGCCAGAGGGGCCCGGGGAGCCGCGGCGGCAGCTGCACGCGCCGCTGGCCGGCACCTGGGGCACACTCCCTGGTAGCGAAGGCTCAGGAACCGCTGACAAACCGAGCATTGGCCGAGGGCGTGTTGGTCAAGGAACTCCTGCGGGACGGGCGGCAGGTTGGGGTAGCGGCCCGCCGCGTGCTCATTCAAGTGGACCCTCATGCTCTCCTGGCAGGACCACCCTGGCGAGGCGACAGGATCGGCGCGCGGGCAGCCGGGCACCGGGCAGTAGACGCGGGCCCGCCGCCGGGCTGCAGGGCGGGGCGCGGCGGGGGCTGGCGGCGGCGGCTGCGCAGCCTGCGGCGGCAGGGCAGCAGCGGCTGGCTCCGCAGCGTGCCCGGCGCCTCCCTCTGCCTGCATGGCCGGAGGCTGGGCGCCCGCGCGGGCAGCAGCAGCAGCAGCAGCAGCCTCCTCCAGCGCAGCTCGCCGGCGGCGCTCGGCCAGCGGCATCCCCGCGTCCTCGTCCAGGGGGTCCGGACCCCCCCCCCCTTGAAAGGGAGAGGGGGGGCGGGTTCTGGAAACCCCCTCCCCCTTTAGTGTATTCAGGGAGATCCACTGGCGCACTTTCGCAAAAGTCGGCTGGGGTCCTGGCCCGGGGCTGGGACTCCAGTACTACGGCATATGATTGATTGCACTCCTCCTCCCCCTCTTGTCGCATATATGTGCTGCTGTTACTGCTGCTGCTGCTGGTGCTGCTGCTGGTGCTGCTGCTGCTGCTGCTGCCGCTGCTCCTCTTCCTACAAGCCTTCCTGCTGCTCCTCTCCTCCTCTTTCTGCTGCCCCTCCTCCCCATGTCCTCCTCATCCTCTTCCTGCTCGTCATCCTCCTCCCTTCTCCCCCCAGGTCCCCTCCTCCCCCCATGCTCCCTCTTCCACACCCTAGATACCATTGCTCCTACCTCTCGTCCTTCGCCTCCCGCTCCTCCACCTTGCCCTTCCTCATCATTTCTTCCGTCTCCCTCACCCTATACAACTGCTGCTGTTGTTTCTTTTCCTCCTCCTGCTCCTCCTGCTCCTCCTGCTCCTCCTGCTCCTCCTCCTCCTCGTCGTCCTCCTCCTCCTCCTCCTCCTCATCCTTCTCCTCTTCCTCTTCCGCATCATTCCCTGCTCATCTTGATCCCCTCCTCCTCCTCCTCATCCTCCTCATGCATTCGCCCAAACTCCCTTTTCCTCCTTCCTTCATTCCCGCTTTCCCTCTTCCTCTCCCCCAATCCCCAATTACCCTCCAGCCGGCCTCTCGGTCGGGGACATGTCCGTGAGCGGTTTGATGAGCTGCATCGCCTCCTCTGGAGCGACCACGCGTCTTGGACGAGGCCGCTTGGCGGATCATCTCCACCCGTCCCTCTATTTCCATTTCATTTTCCTTCCGTCCTCTTCTCCAGCTCTTCCTCATATGTCCCCCCTCCTCCACTTCAAACGCCTCTTTCTCCCCCTCCTCCCCCTCCTCGTCGTCCTCCTCTTCCTTTGTCTGTTTCTCCTTCATCCCCTCCCGATTCCCTCCCAATGCCCCCCTCGACGGGATCCCCCCGTTCCTCGTGATCCTGTCCGTTCGCCGCCTGATGATCTGCAAGCTACACACGTGGTCAGGGCAAACGCAGAACAGACGCGCGAACGAGGGGTGCCCTCGGCTGGAGAGGCGCAGCCCCCCCAATCCACCATAGTCGGCCGGAGGGGGGGGGGCAGGCGGAGGTTCTCTTTCCAACGCAGCGGGCACACCTCGATTCCACGTCAATCGTCAGGCCAGGCGCCGTCTATGCAGGAGGGCGACAGAGAGCGAGAAAAGAACAGAGAGGGCCGCCAGAGGGCAGGGGGCGGGCTCTCGGCAAAGCTGGCTTCATCCTGGCAAGGCGCCGTGCACACCACGAGTGGGCAATTCTTGCCGCTCGCCACGCAAACGAATCCAGCTGAGACCTGAACCCGCCCACGACCTCTCAAAACAGTCAGGCGAAAGACAGCCACCGAAAGCAGCGAGCGGGACGGGCACACCGGAAGTATGGCAGCAGTAGGACACGCCAGAAGGGAAGGGAAGGGTCGCAGCACCAACGGCACAGCGAAGCAGCAGCACGGAAACGCGCGGGGGGGGGGGGGGGGCACGAGACGGCTCCAATTGCTGTGGGGGCACCCAAGAAGCCCGAACCTTTCGAACACCGAATGAAAGTATGTGAATGTGCCTTCTCGCCTCTCCGTGTCTTGCCAAATGCAACATCAAAACAGCCCCGTGAGGCGCCCGACGCGGCCCCCGGACCGCCCAAGAGCGCCCCGAGGGCGCCCCAGGAGGGCCCCGAGAGGCGATTAGGTGGTCCCAGGGGGAAGTGGGCCCCCTCTTTTGTCGACGCGGAGGTCCCCCCGAGAGGGCCCCACGAGAGCGCCAAGAACTTCCCAAAGGAGCCCAAGACGATCCCAATACGAGAGAGCCTCATGAGGATCCCCCAAGATGGCTGCCAGAACTTCGGCAACCAGATACATGGCGGAAATCATCCATCCAGGCCACGAGACGAACGTGCGGTGGATGGCGGAGGTGTGTCGGCGGCACTCGTTGTAGTGAGCGTGCTCGAGCGGATCTAAGCCAGCCATTCAACCAACTGCGCGAAGAACTCTTGCCAGGGAAGGCGAAGAAGACATCTCCACTCTGGCGTGGCGGTGTCCTCAGCAGTGCGCTCGCCGCCAGGGACCACAGGTCAAGGGAAGCCCCGCGAGATGTTAAACTCGCCCGCCAAGGCGACGAGATAATGCTCGGGGCCTGAGGTTGCCTTCACCAATGCCTGCTTATCTTGGAAGTGATCATGTGAGTGCCGTGCGGACAGATGCCGTGGTTATGTAGGATGAAGGTGAGAAACGATGCACGGCGTGCAAGACACATATCGAGTTACCGTACCCAAGACCAAGTGAGACAATAGTGGAAGCGCACGACCGCGAACCAGCTCTTTGTGTTGAACAGAGGTCCTCCAACTTGGAAGGCAAGAACAGGTGACGACGCACACCTTGTTCTGTACGGGGAAGAAGGAGGAGGAAGCTCGGTAGCCCAAGGAAGCCATGTGCAAAAAATCCGAAACATCAAAATCGTCACCGTGAGCTTCCTGAAGAGCAATGATCCCAAACCCACGGGCCGCCACTGAGAGATGCCGCTGCTTCGCGGTCCGCGCACTAGCTTCGTGATGAAAAACATGATCGACCCACGAACCCGGAAAGGAATATAGAAATGTAAAGCATGGCAACGTTTCAAAAACACCTGGGTGGGCGACGGGCAAATGCAATGCTGAATGTATCGATCTTGATGTACTGTGCCGAAGGCTGTGCTGTGCTACGCCGTGATGAACTGCGATGTGCCATGCCGCGAGTGTGCTCTATATAGCGTTGTGGATCGAGTCCGCCCTGGCATCCGAGTCCTGACCGAACTGAACTGGATCTTAAGCTCGAGCTGCCTGAGCACATGGTAGCTGCCCTAGAGCTAATCGACAGAGGGGACATGCCAGGAGGACGCGCCGCGGAACGTCCCAAGGGACGCGCCAGGCGACGTGCCAGGGGATGTGCCATGGGCACGCACCGCGGGACGTGCCAAGGGGACGCGCTACGGAACGTGCCAATGGACGTGCACCGCGCGACGTGCCAGGTGGACTCGCCACGGGACGCTCCGCGGAACGTGCCAGGTAACATGCCAGGCTGCAATGTTAAGGGCATCGATATTGATGTACCGTGCCGAGGGCTGTGCTGTGCCTGGGCGACACGTGAAAACACGCGTTTCGCTCAAGACGTCCTCAGCACATCCTCATGCTAGACATCCGCCTGGGCGACCTGGAGACGTGAAAACACGCGTGTCGATCGAGACTTCCTCGACACATCCTCATGCTAGACATCCGCCTGGGCGACCTGGACACGTGAAAACAAGCCTCTCGTTCGAGACATCCTCAACAAATCCTCATGCTAGACATCTGTCTGGGCAACCTGGAGGCGTGAAACCAAGCGTCTCGCTCGAGACATCCTCAAGACCTGGGCACGTGAAAACAAGCATTTCACTTGAGAGATCCTCTGAATTCAGGTCCTCGCGAGAAGACAATCTATAACACAAAAAAAAAAATCGCTCGAGACATCCTCAACACATTCTGAAACACGAGCGTTTCGCTCGAGACATCCTCAACTTTTGATTCGCCGGCCCACCTCGACCTCGATATTTATCGCAAAAGAGATTCGCCAGCCCACCTCAAGTCAAAACCTGTGGTAAACCATCCAAAAGAGAACCCTGGGCCTATGCCCTTTCCGGGAAAAACTCCCCCATGCTAAGCTGGAGCTTGTTCATGGTGACGCGCAGGGGGGCATGGCCTGCATGGTTTCGGCCTTCTGGTTGTCAGCACTGGCGGATATCAGATGGAGCGGCATGATCTTCATCATGAAGTTGGGATGGGTTGGGAAGGTGGCGAAAATCTCGAATTCTTGCGCCAGCTTCTCGGTGGCGATCTTGCAAGGGGCGTTTTAGTCATGGCGTTGAAGGTCCTGACGTTGTCGGCCTTGGCCAGACTTGCCCTTGCCGTTAGACGCCTCCTGGAGGGCCCCCAGTGAGTGGGAAGAGCACTCGCGCTCTGGGCGGCCATGGGCATCGGGCATGTGTGTAAAATGCGATGCCCGAAAGAACTACCAACGGGTGGACCAGTGGGCCCTCGGAAGCTGGCAAGATCGGGGAATCACGCGTCTAGGCGCCCCATTGAGCCAACATGGCTCGATTCAAAATTGCCGCGGACCATAATCTTCGTCCTTCTCCTCCTTCTCGTGTTCGTCCTCTTCCTCCTCGATCTCCTCTTCCTCTTCGTCCTCGTCCTCCCCCTCGTCCTCCTCCTCCTCGTTGTCGCCCTTCGTCTCGCCCCCGTGTTCCTCCTCGTCCCCGTCCTCGTGCATTTCCTCGTTCTCGTCCCAGGTCTGACCAGGCCGATCCAAACTTGTGCCACTGGTGCTTGGTAACACCTTGGTCAAGGCAACTCGCCTGGGCATGTCCTGATAAAGGCAAATCGGCTGGGCTCAACATCTCACGACGACGACCACCCCCATCCTCCGCCCATACCGTTTCGAAATTCGAACCAGCACAAACGGAACGCGTCAAACTCTTATCCGCGAGTCCCCTCATCTTCGCATCAATACAAGCAATGGCCTCGCGAAGATCGACGTCGTGATTGAGGGGGATCAGGTGACTCGCTTGGTCCTGGAGACGTTTCATTTCCTGTATGCGATACTCCTGCAACTTTGAAAGTTGGTCGATTCCTCTTGCGTCCGATCGGAACTCCCCGGGACGCCTGTTTCTTCTGCTCACGAGGCACATCCAACTCTGCGTGATGGCTGGTGCTGTCTTCTCGGACGGCATGTTTCAGGGCCTTCAACTGCATGTGCACCCCGTTCTCACACACTGCACGTGCGGGCGCAGCAGCGGGCGGGGTCGCCACCGTCGGGGACACATCGCTCAGGGGCATGCCATGCATAAGGGCAGGCGCTGGGGCGGTGGCGCCGCCCGCGGGGCGGGCCGCCGCAACGCGGATCGCGCCGACCCTGGCGAGAAGGGGCGGGGGGGAAGACCACGCCGAGGGCGCTGAGAGCGGCGGGCCCATGAGAAGGAGGGGGGAACAGGAATCCCAGAGGTTGCAGGGCAAGGGGGGGCGGGGCCACGCGAAGCAAATCTGGCCTTAAACCAAAATGCCTTGACCAAACTTGACTCATATGTAAAAGAGGCAGAAGGCGGAGAGGGGAAGGGGAGCGAGGAAGAAGCGGCACAGGAATAACGACCGCGATCCATTTCCAGGAAGAGCCTTCCTGAAAATGAGCTACTCTTGGCCTTCGCACGGGGAGCCCCTAGACTCTGAGAAGCGTGACCGTGAAGTTCGTCAGAAGCGGTACGGCCAAAACGATGCGCTCGTCGAGGAAGCATGATGATTACAGTGATGCTGCTGGTGATGATGATGCAAATGATATTGATGAGTGTGATGAAGCTGACGACGATAATGATGATGATGGTGCTGCTGATGCTGATGATGGATCTGATGATGACGATGGTGCTGATGCTGATGATGACGATGATGATGATGCTGATGATGGTGATACTAACGATCAAGGCTGTTCAGATGATGAGGAGGAGGAGGAGCAGGAGGAGGAGGTGGAGGAAAAGGAGGCGGAGGCATCTAAAGCGTCGGGGCTTTGGTTGTCTGACCGCTGGGTTGGTCTGACCGCAGGAAAAGTCCTAGCCTTTAGCGTGGCAGAGGACTGCTACATCCACATCTGCTTCCACTCCGCATACCGGAACTACTGTT